AGATGATCAAACAGATCTCTGGAAGAAACGTACGTAATATACTACAGTATACTTTTAACTTTCGTTATGAAACTATATTTTGAAAGGCTAGTGTCTCAAAGTCAATATATTTATCATCTTTTTTTTTAAAGAATAAGGGTGAATAACGAGTACAAAGTAAGTGGATACTGTGGCCCATAGGCATCTGCAAAATCTATATATAACAATAAAGAATCAAAATGTGTAAGCTGCATTTTCATCCCTGAGATTTTAGAATAGAAAGCCCCATCATCATCATCATTAAAGCCCTTTACAAGTTCACGGATGAACATTGGTCTCTCCCAAGGAATGCCAAGAAGAACGGTCCTGAGTCACCTGCATCCATCGACCTCCTGCATGTCTTACCAGGTCGTCACTCCATCTAGTGGTGAGTCGCCCTACACTTCGCCTACTGATACGAGGCTACCACTCGAGAACCTATAGTCCCCATCGGTTGTCGATTTTTTGAGCTATAAGGCCGACCCATGCCACTTCAGCTTACTAATCCGTTAGACTATGTCGGTCACTCTGGTCTTACTGCGGATATCCTCATTTCTAAGTTTATCTCGCAGACAAACCCTCAGCACAGCCCTCTCCATAGCCTGCTGAGCAACCTAGAGCGTCTTAATATGGCCAGCAGTAAGGGACCACGTCTGAAATCCATAAGTTATCACTGGCAACACGCACTATCTGTACAATCTCGTTTTCAGGTTTTGAGGTATACATGACGAGAAGATGTGTCGTAATTTTCCGAACGCTACCTAACCGAGTTGAATACGTCGATTAAGTTCTCGGCCGAAGTTGGACTTACCTAGTCGGACTATTTATCCCAGGTAAACATACTCACCAACAACTTCAAGTTTAGTGCTTTGAAGAACTACCAGCATAGGTGAAATGAACGTAACACATGACTCTTGTTTTGTACATGTTCATCTTAAGAACTATCCGTTAGGAGACACTATTGAAGTCATTTAACATAATGCTTACGTCCTCCAGGTTTTCTGCCATAAGGACTATATCGTTGGCAAATCGAAGGTGAGATGTTAACACCGTATATTTTTCGGTCCAGTAACTTAAAACCTTCTTCCAATGGAGCAGTGAAGAGTTTCTGGGATATTCTGTAACCTAGCTAGGAGAACAGAGCTACATCCACGAGATTGATGATCATAATTTATGGATAGTACAAACGATGTCATGTCCCACCCATGTACTAGAATCACTTTTATATAAATAAAGTTTTATTATTTTATTTATTTATTTATATAACGTCACACTCTCTTCGCAGGTTTTGTACTCTGATTCTATACTGGGATAGCCATTTTATCCCTACTGTACCAACACTTCAGTACTTCGATATACTGATATTCAACTTGACATCGCTAAAGAGACTCATAGTTCATATACTCAAGGCAAAGTGACAGATTGTACTCTTCGATCTTTTGTACAATTTTCTAAAGTTTATGTATGTGGTCAATGTTACTAAAGCCTTTTTGGAAACCGGCTCGTTCAGAAGGCTTGAGGTCTATGTGCGAGACGATTCGTAATGACTCTCGGAAACAACACGTAGATGCGGCTTAGAAGGGAAATCGGTCCGCTGTTCTTCAAGAGAGCATTGTGTCCTTTTTCGGAAAACACAACCACTGCACTTCCGCTTCACGCCTCTAGAGTAGTGTCACCATAGAGGACGAAATTAAATAGATTCCCAAGGACTTCAAGTATCGGTTTTTTACGGGTTTTCAGAAGCTCGACTTAAATTCCATCTTCACCCAGGGACTTGCCGTTTTTAAGGTGCCGGAGAGCCATTCTAATCTCGCTTTGACTAATGTCCAGAATATTATGGGAATAGTATCGGAGAAGACTTGCTCTCAGATCGTCACTCACAATTGTGTGTGTGGATCCAACGATGATGTGTACAGCTGCTGATAGAACCTCGCAATCTAACTCAAACTCAAAGGTGTTCCGGAAACGATGCTGCCACTGTGAGTCTTGAGCTTTGACATTTGGCACTTTCTGGCAAACAGATCTCTGCGAAAGAGCCCTGGTTCCGCTCGATCGCTTCTTCAATATGCACTGTCTTGAAGTTGCGTCAGTCCCTCTGCATGTGTTTGGAAATCTGTCTGTTCAGTTGCCTGTAAGCTGTCAAATCTTTTGAAGACTGAAGCTTCATTTTCCGTAACATCGTCCGTAACAGCCATAAGATTAAGAGTGTGATCGGAGGGTTTTGGCTTCGAGGGGGACGTTATCATCTAAAAAGACCCTAATTTTTGCTTTTTCTAAATGCAAATTCCCGATTTTGCGTTGCTGGAGATACACTACCAATGAAATTAATATGGCTTTCTAGTACAGAGTAACCCAACTTTGCAAATTAATTCATTCAGAAATCATAAGTGAACGGAATTTAGTTTTTACTGTTGTTACGAAATTCTGGACATAATTTTATAACCAATGATTTTTCGTGTTTGCTTCTTCTTGAATAATGAATGATGAAAAATATTGTATTTTTCGTACTGAAATCAATTTTAGTATATTTTTATTTCACTTCAGAAATCAATTTAGTTTAAATGTGGTGTGTTATTTTGTAAAAGAACTTTTCCGAACGTTACTTATTAAATATCAAGCAATATTAAGAAAATAATTTTGCTTTTTGTAAATTGGAAGCCTTAGGCCAAATACAAAGGGACATGCATGGTTAGGCAAACAACAGTTATTTCAATTAAAAAAAAATTTAAATTATGTGTTCTGAAATTAAATTGAATATGTTTACAATTTCCTTTGAAAATGTTAGGCATATTACTGGTACTATTAGTGCATAACTAAGGGCAGATGTGATAATCGTGTTGTAAAGTATTTTCCTCCTTATATATTGGTTGTTTCCCCTTTACTATTTAACTAAATTTATAAACGTGACCAAAATAAATAAAAATGCGTTTCGATCTTTGCAAACTATCTTTCTAAACGTTTAGTTACTGGTCTTTTATAGTATTTATAACGTGATCGTCTTAGTTGGGACCCTTATTTACGTTGTGTTTGCATAGTAAATTAGTTCTTTAAGGTGTTTTTGGAAGAACGGATATTCACTAGAGCGATTGAAAGCCGTTGAAATTCCAGAAAAACAAAAAATGTTCAAACGCTTAATTTTTGAATATATATATATATATATATATATATATATATATATATATATATATATATATACAATACAAGGGCTCCCAAGGGTCCCCCAGAGGGGACGTTGTGTTGGGAACTGTACCGTAGTCCACAGCAACATAACTGGCGAACCAGTAACCAGTTGGACCCTTGGTAGTGCGTAAGCACAAACATTGACCGCAGTTGCATATTATCTCAATGCGTGTTAACACCATATAGGATAAGTTCAATACAACTATCGTCGGGCTTATACGAGTATCGTACCTTCGTACCTACCCAAGATCCCCTATACAATCCTAGCAGATATCTCCACCCACATACTTCCATCTAGAACAACAAGATGCATCGAATCAGGTGAAACAAACCCTCAGACGCATCATAAGACGCAATACAGTAAGTATCAGTAAGCATCAATGCAACTATCATATGAATGGCGCCCTCTTACAACACATCCACATGACCCCTATCGACTTTGGTAACAATATTGGTATTTCTGCAAACTAAAAAAAATTACACCAGCGTATCTTAGTAGCATGCTTCTAAGACGCTTGTAGTAAAAATCCACGTATCTGCTGTAATCCACGTACGTGCTAATGCACTACAACATGGAGTTGAGTATGCTTGTTACACTTAAAAGTGCTATAAAACACACACATCCCAAACCAAAAGATAGCCGACGTATCATAACGCTATGCGCTAAGACGCCGCCCACAAACAGTATGAGTGTGCGATGTCCATGGCAAGCTATGGGTATTGCTACAACAAATCCGCTACCACCGGCACTGAGATCCAAGTTTACCTAGGTCTCGGAAGCTGTCATGCAGTCTACACGCCACTATAGTAATCCTTTTCAACACTCAATTCTATTAATAATTTAATTTATTTATTCAATACTCTCACAAGGCTTGGTTTACATTTAAAAATTTCTGTAGTCAGAAAGAAAATTGTCTTTTAAAGGCGGTTATTACAGTTTATGCACTTTTACCATTTTAAGGGAAGTCATTTCAAATTACACTTTCACCTTTTACTACAAAAATCAAAAATTTTAACAACCCGTAGGAGGCTGCACCTAGTTGAAAATGTCTAAGCTCCTAATAGCCCGGCAGATATAAAAATAATCGTCCGATTCATTTACGTATTTCATATTACTATTGTAACATGAAAATAATTATTCATATTTAATCATCTAGGCTTCATAAGTTGGAAATACTAACTTTTAGTTTGCAGCTGTTCTCAGAAACGTAAAAAAACATTTCTCTAATTAATTTTTGTGTATATTTCAACCTGAAGAAACTTTACGCGACTGTTGTTCTTGTTATCTTGGTAGAGCTCCGCCGTAGCTATATTTTTTTTGCAACACGAGTAGTTCGGCTCGTCCAGAGAAGGAACACGCTCTCACTGAATACTAGCGTCAAATTGCACTTAAATGTTACCGTGTGTGCATTTATATTTTGATTCTTTATCAAGGATGGATGTAAGTATCTATGGACCACAGTATCCACTTTCTATCAGGTGAACTACGTGCTCGTTTGTCATCCTAACTCTGTAAAGAAATATGGTCCTGTGTCCGAATCCTGGGTTGGACTAAAGTTAGTTATTGTGTTTTTTAGCAGTCTTAATCAAGATTGTATGTCTGATTAATAAATTAATTTTCAGAAGACGAAGACGGTAGTTGTGAATTTCCCTATCGTGCATTAGAATAGAGCAGCGAACAACAGTTCCATAACACTTACAGGAACAATAAAATGTTTAGTGTTTTAATGTGCATTTTTAACGTATTTTATCACTGACGTGTTTCTAGGTTTTATTAAAGCGATAAATTTTTTTTATTTACTTTAATAGTACTTAATTTCACCACCACAGTGCAAAACAGGAGCATGCTCGAATACTTTGACATCGCACGTTCTCGTGCAGTTGTATAAAACTTTCTGCAGTTGTAGAGTTATTCTTTAATTTAACATTTTATTATTTTATTCTTATTTAGATTTTACTTGCACAGCTCGTTATTTCATTCTAAAGATATATTTTATAAAATAATTTTTATCAAGCCCGTCAATTAAAAATAATACAAACATGTTTATTATTTCATTTAAATAACGATTATTTAGTTTTACAAAAACAAAAGACAGATAAGAAATATAAAATCAATAATACATATCTCATCAATAAACGATGATGAATTTTATCCTAAATCACCATTTCCGTTATCGTTAAAGCCTTTTTATAGTTCACTGCTGAATATGGGCCTCCCACTTAGACTGCCTCGTCGGGGGAACATTTGACGTAGTTTCAACGCTTGGCAAGCGGGTCGGCATTCGGCAACTGCAGTTTTTTTTTATCGTTATTAGGAAGACTCTGCTGCCCATCTCCTGATTTGTTTCCCTCTGTCGCCTCTAACGATACCCGGAGGATGATATGGGGTAGTGGCGCCAACTTTAGCCACTACCACACGGTAACATTATGTGGTAAAGCCACGTTGCAACTAAATAGCACGTATGTGCTATTATAAATGCCACAAATGGGTCGGTTAAAGTAGGGGAGGACCACGTTATCACAGAATACTAGTATAAAATTGCAGATTAATGCTGCTGTGTTTCGTATGGTGAACTTAGAGAACCTAAGATCCTTTTAACTAGATAGGAGGCGTGCCATCTTATAGTCCTCAAGGATGAAAACGCATCAAAATTTTTATTTTTAGTTAGGGATAAATGTGGATGTTTTTTCTTACTTTTTTCTTACCATCAGATGGAATTAGTGCTCGTTGGTCAACCTTATTCTAATTAAAAAAATGTATGTCTATATTATTTATAAATGCCGTGTGGTGGTGGCGTAAGAATTCCCTTAAGCTATCACTCCATTCCGTCCTAAATTGTCGTAAAAAGGTGACTATGAGAAATTCCAGAAAAATGTTATGGCCCCTAAAGATGGCGATAAAGTAATAGGTAAGTAATATTGCTCAGATGCAGTCAATGTATGTACTTGCGACATGACCTAATAATGCTTGCGTTTGCTACATGCGTATTATTTTAGAATAGAATAGAATATTTTAGAATAGAAAAGAAAAGAAGAATTTTAGAATAGAATATTGAATCATTTTGATTTCAATATAGATTACATATAATTTTTATTAAAACTCTTTTTTTGTTCTTTTACCACTGGTTCGAAAAACAACCTCTGCCCTGGGGAAAAACTGCGAAAAACCTAGTGGGACTTTTAAAAAAAAAGCATAATATAAAATATAATATTTATACAATTGTTTTAAAAACATTTAGAAACAGTATGGTAGCGATCACATCATTCCCAGGGGTTATTATCAAGCTTAATTTCACACTTCTTATGACAGAAAAAAAAGATAATTAATTTGTTACCCATTCTGTCATCCATTTCATCCATCCATCCATCCAGTTATAGTGGTGAAACTTGTTTCTTGTTCGAATGAAACTACATCTTATGCATTCAAGTTTTTATTGTTTAAAATGTTTGTTCTACCCGAAACTTTAATTTTTTTAAAGTTTCGGGTAGAACAAACTTTAATTATAAGTGTGTACCATATTTTGTTTATCAATAAACATTATTATTATTTTGGGGTATCTATATAGTTTTCTCATCTGGTTGGGTGCTATAAATATATAATTATAAATGAAAATGAAAAGACAAATATACATAAATATCAATAACATAAAATAAATATAAAAGTACATAAATAAATAAAAGCCCAACCAGATGGAGGCCCTCGGCAGGGGAGACCAAACGGCCGAGGGTTAGGGGGAAAGGGAAAGAAACCGGCGGACGATGCGGGCGGTATCGAGGAGCACCGCCTTCTGCATTTGAACCTGGAGCGGTCCGCCACGTAGTCCCAGCCGCCTCAGATGACCCGAGAGGCTGACTGGGATTAGCCCGTTTGCAGAGACGACTACAGGAATAATTTCGGTCGGCAGACCACCCCACATGTCGGTCACCTCGTGAGCCAGGTCCAGATATTTTGTTTGCTTGTCTGTTTCGGCTTTCACGAGGTTCTCGTCATACGGAATGGTAATGTCGACCAAAAATATCCTTGACTGTGCCCGGTCCATCAGCACAATATCAGGCTTATTCGCAAGAATAGTCCTGTCTGTGATGATGGCACGGTCCCAATAGAGCCTGGCGCGATCATTTTCGAGCACGGCTTCCGGCAAGTACTTGTAATACGGCAATTTCCGATCCACGAGACCGTATTTCAGAGCGAGCTCCTGGTGTAGAATTCTGGCTACTAGGTTGTGCCTGTGCAAGTACTCAGAGTTAGAAAGCGCCGAACAACCGGAGATAACATGCCTAAGTGACTCACCGGGATGGCGACAAGCTCGACAGATGTCGACGGTGCCATCCTTTAGGATGTATCTCCGATAGTTGTTGGTCTTAATAACCTGATCCTGTATTGCACAGACAAAACCCTCGGTTTCCCCGAAGAGATCACCAAAGCGTAGCCAGTGGAGGGAGGCTACTGTGTCTACGAAAGGCTCATGTAGAGCCTTGTAGAACCTCCCGTGGAGCTCCTTCTCCTTCCATACGGTCTCCCGGTCGGAAATGCTCTGCACTGCCGGGTCTTGCCATTGCTCGTTGGCTAAGGATAGAGGGGTAAGTCCTTTATCACAAGAAATGACGTCCTTATAGAATGGATCATCCGATCTCGCCAGGAAGTAATCACGGAGGCTGCACACTTCGCGATTATGCATGGTGAGCGCGCTCAAGAAGCCACGACCACCATGCTTCCGCGGCAAGTACAGCCTCATTACCGACGATCTCGGATGATGCATCCTATGGGACGTCATTGTAGTGCGGACTTTTCTATCCAGGGCGTTAAGTTCAGTCTGAGTCCACCTGAGTATGCCAAAGGTATACATGAGGACAGGCATGATCCAGCCGTTATATGCGTGTGCCTTATTCACACCGGACAAAAGGCTGTTAAGCACTTTGGTCAAGCGTGCATAAAACACGTCGCAAACTGACTGTTTCATACCAGTCTCATCGATACCGATGTTTTGTGACATACCCAGGTATCGGTATGTTTCAGCCTCGGAAAGGGTCCTTAAGTTGACGGGCATAGATAAGTCTACGCCCTCAGAGTTAGCAACCCGTCCCCTTTCAACATGGAGGACCGCACACTTATCCGTTCCCAGCTCCATTCCAATAGAATTGCTAAATTCACAAGTGATGTTTAACAATTCCATAAGATGGGAGCGACTGGAGGCGAATAACTTGAGGTCATCCATATAGAAAAGGTGGGTCACTTTTGTCCCTCCTTTCCGTAGCTGAAATCCCCTCCCGGAGCCCTCCAGTAAGGTACTGAGAGGGTTCAGAGAGAGGCAGAACCAGATTGGACTCAGACAATCGCCCTGGAAGATACCCCTTCTTATCCTTATGTGGTTCTCCGCAGCCATCATCCGCTCGCCTAGATGACAAAGGATCGTACTCCACTGCCCCATACACTGCTCGAGGAAGTCTCTAACTGTACAGTCTATCTTGTACAGCTCGAGGACTCTCTTTAGCCATGTATGGGGCACCGAGTCGAATGCCTTTCTGTAGTCTATCCAGGCGGCGGAGAAGTTCCGACGGTTGCGTTTCACCACTTTGCCAATGACCGCGTCAATGAGGAGTGGTTCCTTGGTTCCACGACCACCGCCCCGACATCCATTTTGAGCGCGCGACATCACCTGATTTGAGTCCAGGTGACAAGTGATTCTCGCGCTCAAAATGGATGTTAGTGTCTTGTATATGGTCGATAGACACGTGATGGGGCGGTATTTGCTCGGGTCTGTGGTACCCTGGTCTTTAGGAACTAAATGAGTGATCCCAGTTGTGAAGAGGCTTGGGAGCGACTTCTGGTTGAGAGCCTCTTGAAACTGTCGGGCGAGCACAGAGTGACACACCATGAACCCCTTCAGCCAGTAGTGATGCAGCCCGTCAAGCCCCGGACTTTTCCAGTTCGGGGCCCTACGAACCGCCTCTGCTACGTCATCCGGCGTTATGATGACGGGGTCCATGGGCGTAATACCCGCACACTGACTCGCCACAACTTCCGTCCAAGGGCCCTCGCTGTGGTTTACGGGCTCTGACCACAGGCCGCGCCAGAATGCTACAGTGTCGGCCTGATCCGGTGCTGGACCCGTTCCACTTACCATTGGTCGCTCCAATGATTCATAGAGCCTCTTCTGATCACTCTGGAAGAGACGATTCTGGTTGAACCGTGTCGACCTCTCGGTATATCGCCGAATCCGCTTTCCCCAAGCAGCGATTCTCTGCTTCAGATCATCTATGCGCTCCGTCAGTTTTTGCGTTATATCCGGCTGGGACAAACTGACATTTGTCCCAGCAAACGCCATCCTGACGGTGCGCACAATTCTTGGCCTGTTGTTGCCTGATCTGAAGCATATCAGTCTGCCGATGAGAGCTCTAGCCTTTGCGATACGTTCCTCAATTCTTCTTCTCCATGCTGGGATAGCGCTACTATGGCCAGTAGCGCGTCCAGCCGTGGAAACCTTGGCGCCTATGATACGGCAGACTGCCAGCGCGGCGCCAAAAAGAATTGAGTCCGTCTCGCAAAGGTCCCGGCTGGCTTCCAAATAGGTAACCAGCATTGGGTTCAGAGCCCTCACGACAGCCCGATTCCGCTTGCTTAGGGCTATGCGGGGAAGTCGCGGTCGATTTTCGAGAGGCGTACTGCGCGTTTCCACAATCGCCTCTTCCAATATACTCCTCATATGCTCTAATTCCAGTTCCTGGGCGACTGTTCCATCATCGTTTGAATCAACCACAACTGGGGTATTCACGGCGGCATCCACGTTTGCGGGTTGCTCTACCATTTGTGGCGCCGCATCCTCAGCCGTAGCATTCTCATCCGACGAGGGAACAGCCTCACGTCGTAGCCGTTCGAGTTCGGCGACATCAAATATATTTGAGCGCAAGATATACCGAACTCGGTCTGCCAGGTTTTGCTCTGTGACGATTAAAGATGGCTCCAGCTCAGCAAAAAGACGATGCATCCTAGCCCGATACGCCAAACATCCAGTTTCTTCCCCTTTTTGCCCTAAAGTACGCCCGCAGTGCGTTTGCATTCATTTCTTGTGACCAACGCATGCGACGTGCTCCACCAGCGGCGGGTGCCGCTTGCTGAGTCCGAGAAGACCCAGCCGACACCAAGCCTTCTGGTGGGGATGATGGATGCGGAGGGCTGGTAGATGACCGTGCAGCTCCTCGCGCTCGGCTGGCGGCCCGCATGCTGCCGCGTCCAGCGCCAGCTCCAGACGCGCCCCGGCGACCCCCCAGGCAGCGGCCCTTTGCGCACTATCTTTTTATCCATCATCCATTATTTGGGCGTCCATTAACGGGAGACGCCCAGGCCCGGCACCGTTTCGTGTGTAGCCATAAGCACAAACGGGCCTCTGCACCCTAAATTCTGCCGCGGCACGGCGCTCACACCTCTCGCAAGGCGCTGACTGACTGCGTTGACGTAGCAGTTTTGTCACTTAACTGTTACGTCAGCGGGCGATGGGGTCATCAATTCCCTACGCCTTTTTATTATTATTATTATTATTATTATTTATTATAAATAGATACAAATTATGACGGAACGTTCGGCCTTTCATGTTTTTACAATCATCTTTTTTAAAGAAAAATACTTGACACATAAGCTTACTCTTTATCATCATCGTCATTACAGCCAAGTCCACTGCTGAACATAGACCTCCCCCAAGGAATTCCGCAAAGAACGGTCCTAAGCCACATACATTCATCGACTTACAACTTACTGACACTTTTATAGCTTTTTAGTTTCAACGGGACCCTCATATATCTAAACTAGCTTGCAAACTTAGTTCTGCAGCGTATGCTGTAAAAAGATTGGAGGCCTTATATGTGAATACCAACACAGCTAGTTTAGTTTATTTTAGTTATTTCCATAGCATAATGTCATATGGAATTTTGTATACGAACAATTTATAACCTAGGTCCGAAGGAAACCCTAAGAGAAAAATTTAAAAATTAAATATATTGTGGTCGCCACACACGGTCAGTTAAACTTTTTTTATACAGAATACGGTAACAAACGAGCACACAGTCCACCTGATGGTAAGTGGTTGCTGTGGCCCATAGACATCTACATCTATCCTCCATTAAAAATCAAAATGCAGATGCGTTGTCACCCGTGAGGACTGAGATGGAATGCCTCGTTTCCAGTAAAAAAGGTCTCCGGTTCTCTACACTCACCATACGAAATACAGCAGCATTAAGCTAATATTTCACGCTGGTATTCGACTGACTGATCATTCCAACTGATCAGTTCAAACTAAAACTGTTGATATCGTTTAAAATATTGGTTTTTCGATATATCGATTAATAAACTTATATATAAAACTCCGATATTGATATATTTATAATTCTCGGTATATCGAAAATTCAATATTTAAAAAAACATTAACAGTATTAGTTTAAACAGATCAGTTTAACTGACCGTGTCCATTAGCTTTGGCTTCTTATTATATTTACAAAAATTTAAAGTATGTTCACAAAAAATAGTAAAAATAGAAAAAGTACATTCTTTTAATAGTGCAAACAATCACAGGTTAGTTATAACAGTAACTTGACTTCAATGAATCGGTAATTCCTTCATAGGGAAATATGTTAATATGCATATGAAAATATGAAGGCCTTATACATTGCAGGTCTATTAAAAAGTTTAAAATGTTTATGCTAAAATTGTTTAATAAGTGTTATTATACTAGTAAAGAGTACATGATTGATAAAAGCCCCTGGGAATGGGATGAACGCTACCATGATATTTCAAATATCTTTATACTAATTGTATAAAATAATATCTCTATTTATTTTTCTCTTATATATTTTTAAAATTTTTAGTTCGCGGGGAACATATTAGTGGTTGAAGCACGAATGGATCGGCTGGACCGGAGAAGAATTACGCTCTCACAGAATACTAGCGCAAAACAGCAGCAAAATGTTTCGTATGGTGAGGGTAGAGAACTGGAGACCCTTATTCCTGGAAATGAGGCATTCCATCTTAATCCTTAAGGGTGTCAAAATTTTGATTCTTAATTGAAGATAGATTTAGATATCTATGGGCCATAGCATATACTCACCATCCGATGGACTGTGTGCTCGCTTGTTACCCCGCTGACCCCTGCTGGCACTGAGGAAATTGTAAATTAAGTGGTGATTTACAATTCGGCCATGGCGGAAAGCATCGTAAGGAAACCTGTATGACAATAGCTAAAACCCGCAGAAATCAGTTGAAACTTATGTCAGTAATGTGTCGAATATATATTACTATTCTAAAATAAGTTTCAAAAACAATGAAGAAAAAAACTCAAAAAAGGAATGAAAAATAGATGTTAAAATCGGCTTTCAGCGTTTTCTTAAGGCTTAAACTAAAAGGCGTATAAACGGTAATGAGATAGAACTTTATTTACAAGTGCTCTGTTTGTGACGCATAAAATGAGGAGCGTTTAAAACTGGACTTTTAACTCGCGGCACTTTTAAATTAGTGGCATGCCTAGCGTGAAATGAGTTCTTGTTTGAGTTGAAGCGTAGATGTGCGTGATTAGCGGTTACACTTTATAGTTCAGATATTTAACTTGATGAATGAGATATTTGAAATGATGTATTTCGAGTCTAATTTGCACCTATTAATGGCTCCATAAACCTGGGACGTTATTTTTTTTATAAAATAAGAGTGACAAACCAGCACACAGTTCACCTGTAAGTGGACGTCGTGGCCGATAGACATCTACATCTATCCTGAATTACGAATCAAAATGCAGATGCGTTGTTATCCCTGAGGATGGAATGCATCCTATCTAACAATAAAGGTCCCTGGTACTGCATATTAACTTTTTGACATTCAGTGTTCTTTTAATCGGATCAGTTATCTGAACGGTGAACTTTTGCCCAGTATTTATTGTAAAGAATTGATAGTTTGACTCTTCAGCTTTTTTTAATGAAATCAATAATTGTATGTTACGTACGCTCTTTGAGAGGCAACAATAGTCAAGCCGTAAACCGGTGGGCGTGGTAAATGATGAATGCTACGATGAGCCGACAAAAAAGATTTGCTGGAGCAGAAATAGAATTTTGTTTTATCCACACAGCGTTGTAGTAAAAATATCTATACATTATATTATTTATATATATATGATATATATATATATATATATTAGTAGTCTATTGAAATTTTTCGGTAAAAAAAATTTGCTGGTCGAATACTGGAATAAAATCTTACGTTTTATGTAAGTTTGCAACATTATCATAGCTCGTGCTAGATTACCTTACAGTCACCCTTTTAATATCCATTCTGCGAATTAAAATGTTCTATTTTGGACTAAAAAACATAACGCAGCCAAAGTTTTCATCTAGATAAAACTGCCATTTGCGTAACAGGATGTGCTGGATTTAACTTGATAAATAAATAATATCTTTAGAAATGGGTGATGTACCCTCAAACACCTAAAGCAACTCTCAATTACAATTTAGGGTTATTACTTCATAAAAACAATAAAACTGATTTTGTTACTTTAGGCAACAAAATAAAACTGTTTATAAGAAATTTAAGCATTACATCATGCATATACCTCCAAGAAATTCTACAAAGCACGGTCCTGAGCTGCCTACATCCATCGATTTCCTGCATTTCTTACCTCATAAGTCTCTAGCTAATCGAATTTGTTTTTAATCGATTAAAATAATTATATCACACAAACAAATAAACAAACTGATATAAGATGTAGTGATTGATCCCTTTTTACTGGTAAGTGAGCATTACACCTTAGAACTCAGGAGACTAAACGAATGAGCATTTTGATTCCTATTTGTGAATAAATATAAGTTCTTGGACCACAGCATTCATCCATCCGCTTATACAACCATCTGGAAGAAATTGCTATTAGCAATAAGACCACCCATTGCATACTCCTTTTGTATATATAATTAATAGTTTTTATATGGAGTGCAAATAAAGAATATTAATTAAAAAATCACTGTCGACGCTCATGAGACAAAATAGAGTAATTAGTCCCTAATAAATATTCAGAAGTTGGCTATTTAGCATATTGACTAAGACCTTGATTGCGACGCTACAAGACAGTGAGTTCGAAATCTATATGAATACAAAAAACATCCTTCTAAATTGGTTCCCCAAGGAATACAAACACACACATACACACACACACACACACACACGCACACGCACACGCACGCGCACGCGCACGCGCGCACGCGCACGCGCACGCACGCGCGCACGCGCGCACGCACGTACGCACGCACGCACGCACGCACGCACGCACGCACGCACGAACGCACGCACGCACGCACGCATGCACGCACACACACACACACACACACACACACACACACACACACATACACACACACAATGACGCACGCAAGCACGCACTTACGCACGCACGCACGCACTTATTTACAACTTTAAATGTAACTTTGATTGGGGTGACAAATTAAACGTTATTGATTTTCAGATCTAATAATTATAATATAGTTTGTTTCATTTTATAATTCTCCACAAGTCACGAGTTACCACGGCGTTTGAGATAAAATTAGCGTCACGGATTGCGTGAACTTTTAAAGTTATTACTTATTATTGATGCCAAATCAATGAAGTTGAAGTGCTTCCCTCTTTGCGTATGGAAGTGCTCATAAAAGTTAAGTGTACGTAGATAAAATTAAATTACATTATCAAATACAGCGGAGAGAAATTCTTTTATACACTTAGTTCTGAAAACGACTTCTTTTTGCATGGAATTTTTGTTCTAAAGCCATTTTACTAATGTACTTAAGTTGCTTGTTAAAAATTATACTGACGTCAACGATTCAAAGCTTATGAACTTTAATTTTTTTTAATACAGGATAAGGGTGACAAACCCTGATGTTAAGTGGATTACGATTAAAATGCGGATGCGTTGTCACCCTTGAGGACTAAGATGGAATGCCTCGGTTTTCAGTCAAAAGGGTCTCCGGT